CCCCGCACAACCCCCTGCGCAAATGCGTCAAACGCGTTTACCGCCGTTCACTGAACGCGCGTTCACTGCGTTCAAAGTCTGAACGCGAAACGCGCGTTCAATGAATGCGCGGTAACACAGATAGAATATGGACATATGTAGATAGTTTCTGCTTGTTGGACATAGTTACACAACACGATATAGGGACGCTGGACCCCTTTTCCAGCAGACACAAAATTTAATCATATCACTGTAATATGGTATAGGGATGCTGGACCCGATTTCCAGCAGATACAAATCATTGTACCATAATACACATTACATCATGATTAGGGTTTCGCGTGATAGGATTGATGTTTCATTTTGTTTGCGAGGTTTTATACATCAGATCGATAGGGACGCTGGACTCGTTTTCCAGCACACACATTCACACCATGGCACAAGGACCCTGGACCTGATTTCCAACAGATATATTTTCGTCATTTGTATAGGGATGCTAGACCCGATTTCCTGCAGGTGTAGCTCCCCACCAATAGATGGAGCCTTCGACGCTGCGGCCTACTTATCGGGGATGCTCTTATCACCTCGCTAAGTAGGTTTCTCATATACGAAGTTAAAAAAAAAAAAAAAAAAAAAAAAGTTGATCCAGATGGAATTACTGCCCATCTTGTTCAACGTAACTGATGTCGAGGCAGTGACCCTGTAACTTTGGGGGTTGTGCAACTAAGGAAGTTGTCGAGGGAGGAAGACACTTTCTGTCCGTCAGAGCTAGTTCGGTCGGTACTGGGGCAGTTAGTGTTGTCCTGTTACCCTAGCAAGGCGGGTATTAGATCTAGCGAGTTCTGGTACGAGGACTAAACACCTAGGAAGTAGTCTTTCCTCTGCAGTGCGGGGAAAGAGGTGGATTCGTTTTTTTGTCTTCCTGTTTTTTAGGCTGATGTTCTTAGTTTAGGGGGAGCTTAAGAATGATTTAAAATTCTGAAAAAAATATTATGATAAGGTTGTTTCTTGTAGTTATTTAAGGAGTGGTATCTCACAGAGTGACTATGCAGAGATCTGCCTATGATCAGGGAGATTGTGGATAAAATGTCAAGGGGGGGAAGGAGAATGTGAGAATTGGAGCATGGGAGGAAGCAAGGGGGGTTCAACATGGGAAGGGACGCCTGTCTAAGTAAGTAGGTCAGAAGGACAAAGTTGGGACGACGGTCACAACGCAGACCGGTGCTGGAGCTTTTTCTCTGTAACCGGGGGGAGCAAGAGGTTTGTGGAGTTATGTCGAGGGAGGAAGGCATAACCAGTTTGTCCGACGTAGCTGATGCTCGGGGGTTTTCCCTGTAACTTAGGGGCGTGTGGCTAATCGAGAGTGTCGAGGGAGGAAGGCACTCTTTGCCGTTTGAACCAGGCTGGTCGGTACTGGGGAAGTTTGTGTTTCTCTATAACCCTAACATAGGGGGCTATGAGATCAGTTGAGCTCTAGTACGATGACTAAACACTTAGACTTAACGTTTTTTCGCTTGTTGAAGGGGAGGTGTAAACAGTATGAGGTTTTAGTAAGGATCTTCTGTTTCCAAGGTATGGATTGTGATTGGGTAGATCATAGGCAGTTTTTTTTCTGAGAACTGCAGTTGTCCTTAAAAAGTTGTTTCTCATAGGTTTTGGCAGGTTTGGTAATTGTCTGATTGTTTTCCTAGCGAAGCCGGGTAAGGGCCCCGAAACTTTAAACGTGTTACATATTCTCTGTTGTACTTCACAGGGATGCTGAGCCCGGTTCTCAGCACGTGATGCTCCCCACGAATAGATTAAAGCTTTTGTCTCCCCCCCCCCCCCCCAAAAAAAAAAAAAAAAAAAGACAGGTGGAGTTAGTGGCCAGTGACCGGTACCTACAGAGATACTCGGCGCCAATCGCATCCACCCCAACTTCCTCCATCCGAATCCCATCTGTCCTCCCAAACTCTGTCCTCGTGAAGAAATCCAGAGGACCTCATCTCAACAGGGGGCGAGCACCATCATCACCCTGAAATTCCTTGCCACCACAAGAATTTCAGTCTCCGTCCTCAAGGAGGTGAAAGCGCTACCCAACGCCAATCGAGCCAAAGTCCGCCCTCATCAGCCGGTACCCATCAGATAGTCTAAGCTACCCAATGCCAATCACATCTGATAAGAGCTCCCCCTAGCCGGTACCCGTCAAGCAACCCTATTCAATCCCCCTCTCTGTGTTTGCGAAGAATCATTTCATGCCCCTTTCCCCCTACTTCAAAACAAATCCAACAAAACTCCACAAGATGCTCCACTTGGCCATCCCATGGGGCCCCTGTTCAAAACTCTAACCAACCTCTTGGAAAAATAAAAGAAAACCTAAAGGAGTAGACGAGAGAATCTTTGAAGTTACCCCCCCACTCTCTCCACAACACAAAGGGGAAAGGAGAAGACAGCATCTCTCCGTTGTGAAGAGAAATAGCATTGCCCTCCCTCCTGTCCTTGAGCTGCCCCCATCGAGAGGAGCCCCCTTCTCCTCAATGACCCCAACTCAGGACAAGCCCCCTAACAGACCACCGCTCCCTAAAAAACAGGCAGTTCCCACCAAAAGCCCGTCCCCGCAGAACGACGGTCCCCCAACCGCCCTCCCAACCCTCTCCATGTTGGAACAGCCACCCGAGGACAACCTTAAAACCACCTCATCCCTCCACCCCTTCTCTCCACGACACAGAGGGGAAAATAGAGGACAACACCTCTCCATCGTGGAGAAAAACAGATTTGCCCTCACTCTGATCAGAAACCCCTCCCTCTTGTCCTTAAGCTGCCCCCGTCAAGAGGCGACCCTTCTTCCCTTATTGACCCCAGCTCAGGACAAGCCCCCTAACGAACCACCACTCCCTCAAGAACGAGCAGTTCCCATCAAAAGTCAGTACCCCCAGAACAGTTGTTCCCCCGAACTCCATCCCAACCCTCTCTGTATGGAACAGCCCCCTGAGGACAAACCTGAAAAACCACCTTCAATCACCAAACGAAAATTCGAATCAGTCTACTCCCCTGCATACTCCCTTGGAGCTGAAATTTAGAAATGGATTTTAGCCAAGTTTTTTTTTTTTTTTTTTTTTTTTTGAGAAACACCCCCACCAGTGATAGTGTTGCTGGTAAGAGCAGACACCACTACCACCCAGGGAGAGGCTCCGTCTATTGGTGGGGAACATCACCTGCTGGAAAACGTTCCCAGCGTCCCATATACAAAATATAATCAGAGAACATCAGAGAAACAATGACGGAGACTCCTACCAGCATTGATGACCCTGGATTCCAGGGGATTGACTGAGCAGGACCTTGAAAAAGATTGGAAATGCTATGGATTCCAGAGACTTAACTGAGTTGGTCTCTCACGCACACTCCTCCCCATTATGGTTGGGAGGCCCGAGTGGGCGGCATTGATTACTTCGTTGTGGAAGGATGTACCCCCCCTCACCCCTGCCTAAGATAATCTGCACATTTAATCTGTCAATCCATTGCCGACCCTCTTGGCCACCGTCCTGCTCCTCTCAATTGTTTCGCTATCAGATCAATGTGTTATACTGGAGCGGGCTAGCTGCCATGGACCAACGCCCCCCTGCCTCCTCCTTGCTGAATGTAGACTGCTTCTTGGTTTCTTGATTTCTCGTTACCCTTCTA